TTTTGGCCAATCCTGGGGCTTGAACTCAGATCCTGGGCACTGTTCCTGAGCTTCTTTTGCTTAAGGCTAGGTCTCTACCACTTGAGCCACAACACTATTTCTGGCCTTTTCTGTGTATGTGGGACTGAGGAATCGAACCCAGGGCTTTATGCATGCTAGGCAAGCACTCGACCACTAAGCCACCTTCCCAGCCTTTTCTTCTTTCTTTCCTCCCCTTCCTTCTTTCTTTTCTTCCTTCCATCTTTATCTTTCTTTTTTTTTTTGTTCTTTTTTTTTTTCCTTCCTTCCTCCCCCTTTCTCCCTTTCTTTCATCTTGCAAATCTGATCCAGTGCTGAACTCAGTCAGCTAAAGGAACAGGAAAGGGTTCTTATGTTCTCGGTACTGTGTGCCTAAGAACTCAATAAGGAGCCGGGCGCTGGTGGCTCACGCCTGTAATCCTAGCTAATTAGGAGGCTGAGATCTGAGGATCACGGTTCAAAGCCAGCCCGGGCAGGAGAGACCGTGAGACTCCTATCTCCAATAAACCACCAGAAAACCGGAAGTGGCGCTGTAGCTCAAGTGGTAGAGCGCTCGCCTTGAGCTGAAGAGCTGAGGGACAGCGCCCAGGCCCAGAGTTCAAGCCCCACGGCCGACCAAAAAAAAAGAAGAACTCAATAAGGAGAGTGATTAGAAACAATTCTCACAGCCAGGGTCCCCAGTGGCTTATCCCTGTCACCCCAGCTACTCAGGAAGCTGAGATCTGAAGATCAGGGTTCAAAGCCAGTCAAGACAGGTAAGTCTGGGAGATTCTTGTCTTCAGTAAAGCTGGAGAGGGAATGCTGGCTCAAGCTGGTAGAGCACCAGGTTTGAGGGGAAACACTAAGGGACAGGGCCCAGGCCCTGAGTTCAAGCCATACGAGGACCTACAGAATAGAATATAAAGGGCTGGGAAGGTGGCTCAGTGGTAGAGCGCTTGCCTTGCATGCCTGAGGCCCTGGGTTCGATTCCTCAGTACCACATAAGCAAAAAAGAAAAAAGCTGGAAGTGGCGCTGTGGCTCAAGTGGTAGAGCGCTAGCCTTGAGCTGAAGAGCTGAGGGACAGCGCCCAGGCCCAGAGTTCAGGCCCCACGACCGGACCCCCCCCCCAAAAAAAGAGAGAATAGAATATAAAGTATATAAAGTATACACACACACACACACACACACACATCTCCATTGACTCCCAGCTTTCTTTCCTATTTTTTTCTTTTCTTTCCCATAGCATAGGTGAGTTGAGATTGTCTTTAGAGAGTTTGCTCACTAGGAAAATATGTCTCGCTGATAACCCAGCCTGGTGGCTAAGGCACCCTAAGCTATTAATAAGTGTTGGGGCTCCCTGTGGCTTTCTGGAACCCACCAATCCTGTTTGTCTCCCCCCCCCCCCCCCCCCCCCCGCCCCGCTCTTTACCAGTTAGCTTTGCTTTAAATCAGAAAAACACAACCAGGCGCTGACAGCTCAAGCCTGTCATGCTAGCTACTCAAGAGGTTGAGATCTGAGGATCAGAGTTCAAAGCCAGCCCGTGTAGGGAAGTCCATGAGACTCTTATGTCCAATGAACCACCCAAAACCAAAAGTGGCGCTAGCCTTGAGCTGAAGAGCTGAGGGACAGACAGCACCCGGGCCCAGAGAGTTCCAGCCCCAGGACTGACAAAAGGATTCCTGGGTAGGTGTTTCCTGGCTAGCCAGGGAAAGGGAACTGGCTTTTAGGCCTTAGGCAACCACCTACAGTGTAAACAACAGAACACTTAAGATTTGCATTTCTTAGTTAATTGGTGATAAGTATCTCCTAAGAGAAGAGGTTAGCTTCCGGCCGTTGCTGGCTTTGGGCCAGGATCCTCCGACCTCAGCCTTTCTGAGCCAGCCACTGATGATAGATGTGAGCCAGCGGTGCCCAGCTGTGGTATTTATTATTTATTGGTGCAGCAAAACAGGCTGACCCTGCCATACACGGGGGGGGGGGGGGGGGGGGGGGGAGTGGGGGGGGGGAGAGGCTGAGATTTCCGGGAAGATCCGGTTTCTGGACCTCCTGTGGTGTCTGGAATGAGACCAGGTTTAGGATCAGGAGGTGCAGGGTTAGTCCAAATCCTGAAAACAAGCCGTTTACCATTCAACGTGGACCAAAGCTGGTGAACTCTGGGGTGGATGGGCCCTGGGCCGCAGGAAATCCATTCTCCTGTCTCGGTTTAAAATCAATCACCAGCCGACCCCCCTGGTGGCTCACGCCTGTAACCCAAGCTACTCAGGAGGCTGAAATCCTGAGGATGGTGGTTCAAAGCCAGCTTGGGCAGGAAAGTCTGTGAGACTCTGTATCTTCAATGAACCACCAGAAAACTGGAAGTAGAGCTGCGGTTCAACGTGGTAGCACACTCAAGCACCCACGGCTCAGGGACAGCGCCCAGGCCTCGAGTTCGAGTCCCACCAGCACCATCAACAACAGAAAAAGCACTAATGGCATCATTGATCATCTATCTGTAATCGAAGGGAAAATGTTGCCTAATTCCTCAAGTTTGCACAAGGTTGGAGTCCAGCCACCCCCACAGAGCTGGCCGAAGAGGCGGCAGACGTGTGTCTACGCACGAATCTACCTTTCTCAGAACCTCGCCTGGAACACCACAGGCAAAGGGGAAGCAGTGAAAACAGAAAGCCATTAACTTGTTAATGGAGTCTTTGGGGGGGGGGCAGCCAACCCCAGCAAGATTGAGGATTGGAAGGGATTAGAGAGGGCCCGCCCACAGCTGGAAGTAGCTAGAAGGTGCGACTAGCCGGCCTAGAATCCTAGCCCCCCCCCCCCTGCTTTCCAGCTGAAGGTGAGAGGTTTGCTCAAGGTGAACATAAGCTGCCCTTGTGGCTTTTTGATCAAAGTTGGCTTTTCCCCAGATACCCTGTCATCGTGCTGAATAATAATAATAATAAAGAATAGCTTTTTGATTAACTTAATTTAATTGACCTAATTCTATAGGGCTAAAAACTAGCCCATGTGTGATTTGATCTTTCTCTCTTCCTCTCTTCTTCCTTCCTTCCTTCCTTCTTTTCCTCCTCCTCTCCCTTCCTTTCTTCCATGCCAGTCCCAGGGCTTGAACTCTGTGCCTGGACTCCGTCCACACATTTCTTTTCCTCAAGGCTGGTGCTCTACCACTTGAGCCACACCTCCCCTTCTGACTTTTTGATGGTTCATGGGAGATGAGAGTCTCATGGACTTTGCTGCCCAGGCTGGCTTCAAACCATGCTTTGTTTGAGAGACCCAAGATTTCACCAAGTTGGAATGACCAACTTGATAGAGTTCATTGATTGGCCTTAAAAAAATTTGTTTTCTCCTCTCTAAAGAGTAAATCTGGTCTTTTTTTTTTTAAACCAACTAAAAGACAATTTGGGGGGAGGCAGCTATTGTGGGCCTACCTGGATATCCCCACCCCAGGATTATTACTGAGCTCCTCCCTTTCCACAAATCCCTCACTCAAGGTCAAAGCATTCATTTAGGGGTCAAGATCCTCCTCCCTGCCCCCCCCCCCACAGCTCCTCCCCTCCCCCTAATTTTCCTGTATTTCTTGTCTCTGTGTTTCAACCAAAACCTGCTGGGGCCAAACGATTCCTCTCATCTGGATTCATCATCCTTTGATATTGTGCTTTTTTTTTTCCCACTTCAGGAAAATTAATATTTTCCTTGAGGTGTTTTGGCCCTGATTCTATGAATGAAAGGTACAGCGAGCAATCTTTATTCCCGTCTTCTCTGTTGAATTTCTAAGGAGCGGCGGCCCTGGGTTTGGAGAAGATGGCGACGTTCTCTTTCAGGTATGATCTTGAACTTGAACTCGTCTCCTCGTGACGGTCAGTGTGGAAAAGTGTGTCCTCTTACCTCTGTTCTTGTGTTTTGTTGTTTTTTTTTTTCCCTGAGAAATTTGCAACTTCACTGTGAATCCTCCTGGGTTATTGATTTTTTTTTTCAAATTATTTTCAATCATGTCTATGGCTGTATTTTTCTACTCTTGGATTAATAATATCAGAGTCACAGCCGACCCGAAAGAAAAAAGTCTGCTTTTGTAAAAGGTCAGACGTATTAGAGATTGCTTGGAGTTTACAAAATGTTTAAGAATCATGGTCCCCCAAAATGTTTTTTAATCTGAAAATGCTTTAAAAAGACAAGTTTAATTGCAATAGTTTAATAAAATGGGCTCCGTCGATTATCTAGCACGGCATGCAGCCATATTTTAATTTTTAGAATATCATTTTATTATCATTTTTCTTATTTGTATTTATTTACTTACTCTTGGCTGATCTAGGGCTTGACCTCAGGGTCTGGGCCTGAGCCTCTTAGTGCTCAAGGCTAGCCCTCTACCACTTAAACCACAACTCCACTTCCAATTTTTTCTGAGTAGACTTTACTGCCTGGGCTGGCTTTGAACCATGATCCTCAGATCTCAGGCTCCTGAGCTAGGATGACAAGCATGAACCACCAGTACCTAGCTATTACGATTATTAACATGTTGCTTAGAGAGATTACTGGTTCCTCAGTCAGATAATGAGTATATATGTAGAAATCTCTCTATGCTCAAGGCTAGTGCTCTACCACTTTTGAACTAGAGCCCCACTTTCAGATTTTTTTTTTTCTGTTGATTTAATTGGAAATAAGAACCTTACAGACTTTCCTGCCAAGAATGGCTTCGAATCGCAATCCTCAGATCTCAGCCTCCTGAGTAGCTAGGACTGCAGGCGTGAGCCACCGATGTCTGGCCATACTGTAATCTTTATAGGAAGAACCATTCTAGATCATTTGAATCAGGTGCACGTGACAAGATCTAAGACATAATCGATAGGCAAGACCGGTTTTCCACTTTTTCTTTGTTGTCTGAGCCAGCCTCTTAGAAAAGGGCGGTCACACTTTACAATTTGGGCTTGTCTCTAAGAAGATGGACTCTGTTTTATTTGCTTTATTCGGTATTTGCTCACGGTTGTCTGATTTCCTTTTCCTAGAGTGGTTTTCATGATGACCGTTTCCAACGCCTTTCAGCTGGGATTAATTGTTGGTGAGAGAACTTTATCCTTTGGGTCACTAACTTTTTTTTTTTTCTTGTGGTATTGGTGATCAAAACTCATTGATGGCCGGGTGCCGGTGGCTCACGCCTGGCATCCCAACTACTCAGGAGGCTGAGCTCTGAGGATCACGGTTCAAAGCCAGCCTGGGCAGGAAAGTCCCCTTGAGACTCCCATCTCCAATTAACTACCAGAAAGCAGGAAGTGGTGCTGTGGCTCAAGGGGTAGAGCGCTCACCTTGAGCTGAAGAGCTCAGGGACAGTGCCCAGGCCCAGAGTTCAAGCCCCACGACTGACCAAAAAAAACCTAAAAAACTCATTAATGCCTGCTAGATAAATTCCACAGCACTGAGTGAGATAACCCAGCTCTCATTCTCTTCATTCTTTGGATGAAAATGAGCAATTTGCAGGGATGGGGTCGGGGCAGAGAGGAGAGGGTAGAGATGGGGTTGAAGTCAGGGCCTTGTGCTAGGCAGGAGGAGCTCTACCACTTGAGCTACGCCTCCAGTCTTAATTTTTTGCTGGGTATTTTGGAGATGGAGTTTAGCTAGCTTTCTGTCTGGGCTAACCTGGATCTTCAGTCCTCCAGATCTCAGTTTCCTAAGTAGCTAGGATTATAGATTTCCCACATCACTACCCCCGCCTCAGTCCTGGGGCTTGAACTCAGGGCCTGGGCGCTGTCCCTGAGCTTCTTTTGCTCAAGGCTAGTGCTCTACTACTTGAGCCACAGCGCCACTTCTGGCTTTTTCTGCCTATGTGGAGCTGAGGAATGGAACCCAGGGCCTTATGCATGCAAGGCGAGCACTCTACCACTGAGCCACCTTCCCAGCCAATGATTTGTTTTTGGTTTATTTTTTAATGTGCCTGAGATAGAGACTACAAGTATCCGTTTATCCTCCAGGGTTGAGCCGCGGTGAACTTGCATCTGCGAGACACTTGGCTTTCAGAGGTGACAACATTCCATCCCAGGAGGGACTCACAGCTCCGGCTCAGTCCTTTAAGCTTGTACCATCCATGGAAATTCAGGATAGTAAGCCCAACCTGCTTTCCAGCATTTCTTTCCTGATTCTATCGTGTGTGTGTGTGTGTGTGTGTGTGTGTCCTGGGTTCAAGTTCCAGGACTGGCACAAAAGAAGCGGGGGGGGGGGGGGGGGGGGGAGGGGAGGGGGGAGGGGAGGAGAGATTTCTCTGCTCAAAGCTACAGGTTGCAGAAGGAATTCAAAAGCCAGGCAGTGGTAGCTCACGCCTGTCATCCCAGATAGGAGGCTGAGATCTGAGGATCGCGGTTGGAGGCTGAGATCTGAGGATCGCGGTTCAAAGCCAGCCCAGGCTGCAAAATCTGAGAGACTTAACCTCCAATTAGCCACCTAAAAACCAAAAGTGGAGCTGTGTTCAAGTGGTAGAGCGCTAGCCTTGAGCACAAAAGCACAGGGACAGTGCCCAGCCCCTGAGTTCAAGCCCAAGGACCAGCCAAAATGAACAACAACCAAAAGAGGGCTGGGAAGGTGGCTCAGTGGTAGAGCGCTTGCCTTGCATGCATGAGGCCATGGGTTCGATTCCTCAGCACCACATAAACAGAAAAGGCTGGAAGTGGCGCTGTGGCTCAAGTGGTAGAGTGCTAGTCTTGAGCTGAAGAGCTGAGGGACAGCGCCCAGGCCCAGAGTTCAGGCCCCAGGATCGACAGAAAAAATAAATAGTCCTTGGATTTTTTTATTTTCTTCTACCTTCTCAAGGTGTCACCTCTTGCATTTTAGGTAAGAAACTTAACAAAACCTGCTGTCTCAATGGGGGTACGTGCATCCTGGGGTCCTTCTGTGCCTGCCCCCCATCTTTCTACGGACGGAACTGTGAACACAGCGTCCACAAACAGTAAGCCATGGGGCAGGAGAGAGCTGGGGCTGGGTGGATGAACAGGCAGGGGAGGGAAGGAGAAACAGGATTTTTTTTTTTGCCTGTATGTGCAGGTGCTGGACTCGAACTCAGGGCCCAAGGTGCAATCCCTAAACTTTGCACGCCAATTTAGCGCTCTACCACTGGAGCCACAGCGCCACTTCCAGTTTTCTGGTGGTTCATTGGAGATAAGAGTCTCACAGACTTTCCTGCCCAGGCTGGCTTTGAACTGCCATCCTCAGATCTCAGCCTCCTGAGGAGCTGGGATGACAGGTGTGAGATTTACAATCTGTATTATCTGTTTATTCTCAGACATTGTGGTGCTCTACCACATGGTACCTGGCTACCCAAGAAATGTTCCCTTTGTCGATGCTGGCATGGCCAAGTTCATTGCTTTCACCAGCCATTCCTTCAAGACTGTGGTAAGCAAGGCTTCCTTCCTCCATTATTTATTAGTTTGTCAGTTATAGGACTCGAACTCTGGGCCTGGGCACTGTCCCTCAACTCTTCAGCTCAAGGTGAGCACTCTACCACTTGAGCCACAGCACCCCTTCCAGTTTTTCTGAGTGGTTCATTGGAGATCAGAGTCTCACTGACATTCCTGCCTGGGCTGGCTTTGAACCGTGATCCTCACATCTCAGCCTCCTGAGTAGCTAGGATGACAGGTGGGAGCCACTGAACAAGTTTCTCTGTCTTCCAGGGGCGCGTGTGATGGATGATCACTTCATGACTTCCAAGAGTCCCAACCCAGCACCCCCAGCGTGGACCCCTTTCCTGTTAGCTGGCCTCTGCCTGCTTATGCAAAGTTATCGATAATTGACTTTTGCCTCCTTTTTGTTTTCTAAATATCCTATGAGTTTCATGACCAGTAAAAGTCAGCTCTATTTATCTTGTGTCCAAGTCTAATGTTGAACTCTTATTAAGTCTTCATATTAGTACTTTTTTGTTTGTTTGTTTTTCTGTCCTGGGCCTTAAACTCTGGGCCTGGGTGCTGTCCCTGAGTTTTGGGGTTCAAGGTTATTGTTCTACCACTTGAGCCACTACTTATGGCTTTTTTTTTTGTCGTCCATCATGGGGTTTGAACTCAGGGCCTGGGCGCTGTCCCTGAGTTCTTCAGCTCAAGGTGAGCGCTCTACCACTTGAGCCACAGCACCACTTCTGGTTTTCTGGTGGGTCATTGGAGATCAGAGTCTCATAGACTTTCCTGCACAGGCTGGCTTTGAACCACCATCCTCAGATCTCAGCCTCCTGAGTTGCTAGAATGACAGGTGTGAGCCACCAACACCTGGCTACCTGTATTTTTTTTTAATCTTTTCTTTTTTGGTACTGGGGGGGGATCAAACCCAAGACATTGTAGGCAAGTGCTTTGCCACTGAGTTACATCCCAGCACTCTACTTCTGGTTTTTTTGTGTGTGTGGTTAATCAGAGATAAGAGTCTCCCAAGCTGGGCAGCAGGGGCTCACGCCTGTTAGCCTAGCAATTCTGGAGGCTGAGATGTGAAGATCATGATTTAAAGCCAACCTGGGCTGGGAAGTCTGTGAGACTCTCAAATGAACCACTGAGTTGTGGCTCAACGTGGTAGAGGGAAAAAGCTCCCAGGCCCCAAAATCAAGCCCTTAGGGCCAGCACGCATGCATGTACATGCACACACGCACACACACACACACACACACACACAGCGCTGCCATCTTAAACTGACCCCTGCCTACTGTGTCTCTTGGCCTGACCTTTTTCAAGCCCGTTGTTAATCATCGCCGGGCTGAAGGGATGGATGGACACAGCTCATAAGCCGCCTGGATTTTATCAGCATCTTGTCTGGCATCTTCCAGGTCATTCTCTGAAGAAAAATGAGAATGAGGGAGATTCTCTGGCAGTACTTTCCAGATTATTCTTGGGCAAAGGAATGAGGTCGCCAAATGCAGTTGCACCTGCCCAGACATGTCCTTAGGGTCCTAGGGAGATAGGACTCCGCTGTCCCCAGACCAAAGCCCCTGGCCAGCTTTTTTTGTGGTTGTTGCTGGTGGTCGTGGGGCTTGAACTCTGGGCCTGGGCGCTGTCCCTCAGCTCATCAGCTCAAGGTGTACGCTCTACCACTTGAGCCACAGCGCCACTTCCCATTTCTTAATGGTTCACTGGTGACAAGAGTCTCCCAGACTTTGCTGCCCAGGCTGGCTTTGAACCTTGGATCCTCAGATCTCAGCCTCCTGAGTAGCTAGGATGACAGGCAGGCGTGAGCCACCGGCTCCCTGGCCAGTTGGGCAACAATGGCCCACACCTATCTGGCTTTTGTCTGTGTCTGTGGTACTGAGGAATCGAACCCAGGGTTTCCTGCATGCTAGGTGAACGCTCTACCACTGAGCCACCTGCCCAGCCCTGAGCATCTTTCTTGGCTGGATGTCTTTTATTGGCAAACACCGATTGCCCAGAGCCAGTCCACTGTTATCACCAGGGGGGAAGACTAAGCAACGTGAAATGTCAGCACCCAGCTCAATCCATGGATTAAGGGCTCCTAAAGTGCCACATACTTTTCTTAAGTCAGCCTGTCAGGTGGCCCCAAAGTGTGGCTGGTCACCCCATGCAGGGATTCCCCCCCAACTTTATCTCTGAGGGTGGGTGGCATCCACCTGCTGCTCTGACAACCTGTTCCCAGCTTCGAGCCAGAACATGATGGAAACATGAATGGATCTCTCAGCCAAGTCATGGACCCCCACCCCTGTGCCAGGGCCTACCAGTGCCACCCCTGATCTGTCTCTGGGTGGGCCCTGCGAGCTAGGGACTTAATTTTTCATCAGGAATCAGAGGCCACCGCCTCTGGAAAGCCGGCTGTGTGATTCTGCCACTCCGTTCGGGTGTCTGGAAGCGTGCATGGGCGGAGGTACTTCAGCCACAGTCCCACCCTGCATATAAAACAGATGTACACGCCGAGGGTTGAGGACCCAGGCGATCGAACCCCTCGGGGTGGCCCAACTAATCAGACAAGAATTCTCTACAGCACTGCCCACCAAACAGCGCAGATTCATCTCCAAGGTAAGGAAGGGTGTCTTTGCAGAGAGCCTGGGGTGGAGTTTGTGGTATATTTTCAGAGGTGCATGAAATGGACTCCTTGGATTCTTCTTTTTATTTTAAATGCTGGTTCTGGGCCTGGGTGCTGTCCCTGAGCTTCTTTTGCTCAAGGCTAGCGCTCTACCACTTGAGCCACAGCGCCACTTCTGGCTTTCTCTTTTGGTGATTCATTGGCGTGAGGACCACTGTGTGGTGCTCTTGAAGAGACTCGAAAGAATGGAGGTGGGGCTGGGAAGGTGGCTCAGTGGTAGAGTGCTTGCCTAGCATGCATGAAGTTCTGGGTTCGATTCCTTAGCACCCCTTACACAGAAAAAACCAGAAGTGGCGCTGTGGCTCAACTGGTAGAGAGCTCACTTTGAATAAAGGAAGAAATTGAGGGACAGTGCCCAGGCCCTGAGTTCACACCCCAGGACTGGCAAACAAAAAGAACAACAACAAAAAAAAGATGAAGAATGAAATTCATAGTTTACCAAATACAAGCCTTCGGGGTTGTTTTTGGGGGGTGGGGAGGTATGGAGGGGTTCTGATTGTCTGTCTGTGCCTCATGCTTCAGTTCTGTGGTATGACCTCTTTTTTTGGTTTTGGTTTTGTATAGCACTGGGGCTTGAGCTCAGGGCTTTATACTCTTGCTCGGCTTCTTCACTGAAGACTGGTAAGTTATCACTTAAACCACTTATACTTTTGTTTTTTGTCGGTTGTGGGGCTTGAACTCCAGGCCTGGGCGCTGTCCCTCAACTCTTCAGCTCAAGACCAGCGCTCTACCACTTGAGCCACACACAGCGCCACTTCCAGTTTTCTGGTGGTTTCTTGGAGAGAAGAGTCTCATGGACTTTCCTGCCCAGGCTGGCTTTGAACTGTGATCCTCAGATCTCAGCCTCCTGGGTAGCTAGGATGACAGGCATGAGCCACCGGCACCCGGCTACTACTTTTATTGGTAGTAATTGGAGATAAGATTCTTACAGGCCGAGGTCTGGAGGATCGCAGTTCAAAGCCAGCCCACTAAGAAAAGTCCCAGTGAGATCTTATCTCCAATGAACCACCAGAAAACCAGAAGTGGTGCTGTGGCTCAAAGTGGTAGAGCGCTCGCCTTGAGCAAAAGAAGGTCAGGGACAGCACCCAGGACCAGAGTTCAAGCCCCATGACAAACAATAAAAAAAAGAACTTTCTTGTCTGCATTCAGCCATTCTTGTATTTCTAGGGGATGAACAGTCAATACACCCGCCGTGAGATATTCTGCCAAAACACCTGTCACGAGCTCAAACGCTTCTGGGAAAGAGAGATCGGCAAGCAGACATGCTACCGGGAATCTGAGGAGAACCGTCTGGGAAAAAGCGCCCTGAGAAAGTACATCACCTCTCTGTCTCTTTCTTTTCTTTTCGTGCCCCTCCTGAGGCTTGAACTCAGGGCCTGGGCACTGTCCCTGTACTTTTGTAAAGCTAGAGCTTTACCACTTTGAGTCACAGCTCCACTTCTGGTTTTCTGGTAGTTCATAAGAGTTCCATGGATTTTCCTGCCCAGGCTGGCTTTGAACCCTGGTCTTCAGATCTCAGCCTTCTGAGTCGCTAGGATGACAGGTGTGAGCCAACACACCAGGCTATTTATTCTAGGTGTTTCACACCTGTCATCCTAGCCACTCAGAAGGCTGCGATCTGAGGATCGAGGTTTAAAGCCAGCCTGGGCAGGAAACTCCATGAGACTCTTGTCTCCAAGAAACCACTCAGAAAATCAGAAGTGGCGCTGTGGCTCAAGCGGTAGAGCACTCGCCTTGAGCTGAAGAGCTGAGGGACAGCGCCCAGGCCCAGAGTTCAAACCCCATGACCGACAAAAAGAAAAAAGTTTTGAGGATCCGGATTCAAATTCTCTGCAATGAATCTCTTGTCTGCATAATGACTATGCACCCACAAACCTTTGCATAAATGAATACCTACATATAAGCATACTTTTACATCTATCATAAAGCCTTTGATGTATTTAAAACCTAGACATACCCTGCAGTCTCTAGCAGGAAACCAACAGCCCTGGAAATGAATGCATGCACCATGATTGTGTTGTTTGTTTATTTTATTTTAAAGGCTAAGGGAAGAATGGAAACAGAGGCTGGAAACGAAGCTGAGACTGGGGAACCATCCAGAAGAGACAGAAAATCGAGCAAATGTTGGCTGAGAGCATCCTGCTACCTTGACTACAGGCGGGCACACAGTGGTTTGGTCGCACTGCAGATGGGTCCCTGGCAAAGGAAGCCTCCTTATCCGTCTTCTGCCCATCTTCCCATACCATATTTCTTTGTCAAGTAGTATGCCATTTATTATTGCAAAGTGTCCCAAAGAGACATTGATTATTTAATATCAAAACTCCCGGCAGCCTGGCTTGTGTTCAAACAATTACAGTCTATTTGTGAAATCCACCTTGTTGGGCTTTTCTTATTTTTGGTGTTTTGTTTTGGGGGCCTATCCTGGGGGCGCTGTTCCTGAGCTCTTTTGCTCAAAGCTGGCGCTCTACCACTTGAACCACACAGCTCCACTTGCAGTTTTCTGGTGGTTCATTGAGAGAAGAGTCTCACAGACTTTTCTTCCCCCGGGCTGGCTTTGAACCGCTATCCTCAGATCCTCAAGCCTCCTGACCGGCATGAGCATTCCCTTTTGCTTTGGTTTATGTTTTTCACTGGGTACCAGAATAATTCGTGCAAGGGTAGTGGAAGGAAGAAGGTTCTGGCTACGTGGTTAGGTGGGAAATCACGGATTGTCTCGGCTTC